TCGTTTTCAGAAATTACCCACAGAGACTATGGCAAACGGGCTGACAAGAGAGTGTGTCCTTTGGGCATACTGAAGTCTGGCACCCTTGTTTTCAGAAATTACCCAGAGAGACGATGGCAAATGGCGCAAGTTGGCAAAAGAATCTCCTGTTTCAGTTATTCAGACAAAACGAGAGCGTCTCTGTGATGTAACGCTTAAGTGGATGTTTATCTGAAATGTAAAAGCTCTTTAAAGGTAAAGGTTCCCTTGCTCGAAAGCCATTCAAATCCGACTCTAGGGTTGTGATGCTCATCTCCGTTTCAAAGCTGAAGAGCCAGTGCTGTCCGAAGACGTTTCCGTGGTCATGTGGCCGGCATGACTAAACACCAAGGTGCACGGAACGCTGTTACCTTCCCACCGAAGTGGTACCTATTTATCTACTTGCAATTTCTTGCTTTCGAACTGCTAGGTTGGCCGGAGCTGGAACTAGAGATGGGAGCTCACTCTGTCATGCGGCACACTCGGGTCTCGAACTGCTGAACTACTGACCTTCCACAACCTGCAGTTCAGCGTCTTAACCACTTGACTTTACTCTTTACTGTAGTTTATAATTCACATCTGTTATTAGTGTGCCCCAAGCCCTCTCATTTGTTGGTAGGTTTGGAGCAAGCAAATGCTCTAGAGTGGTGTTTCCCAGCCTGTGGGTTGGGACCCAAAAGTGGGCTGTGGAGCCTCTGAAAGTGGCTCTCCTGCCCTTTCCAGCCTTCTTTTTCTTTCCTCCTCACCGTCTTCTCACATTCTCATCTCCCCTTCCTTTCCCGAGGATAATGAGGAGAGAAAAAGCTGTCAGGCAACTGAGTCACTTCACCGTAGTCACCAAAAGAAGGAGGGAAGGCTGGAGAGCGGGGCGGGAGCCAGTGTTCCCTGAATGTGCCTCCTCAAACTCTGGCTCTGGACCAGCTGGCAGAGGAGAAGGACATTGGGGTTGACAGAGCAGGCAGCTGCACCCTTTGTGTGATGTTTGTTGGTTTCTCAAAAACATCTGGTTGGGCCCTGAAGAAAACAGAATGCTGGAATAGATGGATGCCAAGGTCGTCGTTTGCCCAGGAACCAAAAAAGCCTGGGGTCTGCCCTGGACGGGTCACAGTGGGTGCCATGGCGCCTGCCAATACTTACTTGGGCATCTGCTAAGCTTTTCAGAAAGTGGGCAGAACCACTGTAAGGAAGGGCTTGTTACTGGCCCCTCTCATTAAAAAAGGGGAGTTCCTAGCACTGCATCCCTAGAGTCGGATTTGACTGGCTTTCAAGTGAGGGAAACCTTTACCTATGTCTACAAAGTGGAGCATTTGGCTCCGTCTTCTGCAGCAGCCATCCTGCAGTAGCTGGTTTGGAGCGGTGCCCTCCACTCCCTCTCAAATATCCATTGGTGATGCACAGGCTCAAAAGGATGGGGGATCCCTGCTCTAAGGAGCCGCCTGCGTTATAGGGAATTAGGGTGCTCTGATTGTTTTAACCCTGATCTTGATTCTGGGGCAAAGGAGGATATGGTGCATAAACTCTGAACAGTCTGTCCATACATCGTTTTTTTTCAATCTGGGTTCTAAATGTATATCACGTAGTAAAATCTAGAAAGGTTGCCATTTTAGTCAGTTGCACTGAAAAACGACGGTCTTGAGGCAACTGGCAGTGGAATCCTAAAAAGAATTACTGCAGTCTAAGCCAATTGCAACCAGTGAGCTTAAACTGGAGTAACTATGCTTAGGATTGTACTGTTAAAGACACAAACATACGCTTGTAGCATAAACTTTCATATGCAAGAGCCACCTACTAGATCAGATGCTTTAAAATAATATTCAGTGTTGAGTTACAAGGAGTTGACTCTGCCTAGTTGAATCTGAAAATATCTTCAGATAGAAAATTAGCTAAAATATTGTTTTCGGTACAGATGGACCTGTCTCGGCTTCTTGCTTTTAGTTTATATCCAAACTTGGATATAAAAATAACTGAACGAATTAAAGTTTTATATTTCATGCATATTAATTCAGAGAAAAGATTATGCTTTCTGACAGATGATGCAGGTTTTGATAAGGTCATAAAGATAGTATTATAAGCTAAAATATCAGACATAAATTCAAACAGATTAGACTGTAAAAATGTAGTCTATAAAGATTATCTTAATTATAATTTTTATTGCTGTCAACAGCCACTTTGTTCTTCTCCGAGCTATAATATTTTTAAAGGTTAACAAATCATTTGAGGAAGTCACAGAATCTTGTCCAACAATTATTTATAGATATTAATTTGAGTAGATTTGCTCATTGAGAGGGGAAAACTACTAGCTTTCTGAAGTAGTGGGATGAAGTAATTTTTTTAAAAGTTTTGGTTCGGATTTGACTAGTTACCACAGATTGTGGGTTTTGAAAACAGACACAATACGTCAATAGCAAACCTGTCCTGTATCAGGCTACAATCTCATGCATAGTTCCTTGGGAGGAAGTCTAGGTGGTACTAACTTCTAAGTAAACATATATTCTAAGTAAACTAAGTAAACAGATTCTGGGTTTTGAAAACAGAAACAATACGTTAATAGCAATCCTGTCCTGTATCAGGCTACAATCTGATGCACAGTTCCTTGGGAGGAAGTCTAGGTGGTACTAATTTCTAAGTAAACATATATAAGACTGAAAGTCCCATTTTGCACCATCGCGAGAACTAAAGGTAAAGGGGAGGTTCTGTCCCCCCACCCCAGTCAATCAAGAATAGCACGCTCAGGTGGGTAGTCATGTTGATCTGTAGCAGCAGAACAAAGATTGAGTCCAGTGGCACCTTTAAGACTAACAGAGTTTAATTCTGGGTATAAACTTTTGTGTGCATGCACACTTCCTCAGATACAGTGAAACAAAACGTCTTCAACCATTACATATAGGTGGGGGGGTTAGTTGCCAGGAAAGTTAGAGTCAAGATGCATACGTAACTGACAGCTACCTGTCAGCAGGTGGTGAGATAAGCCTGGTTCTGACCGGTTATGGCTAGCACTGAACAGTGTGCAGTCACCAGCTGATTGGTGGCACTTTGTACATTCTCTTCTGAGAAACTGAGCGTCTGGCGAAGCAGTTTGTTTGTATATTCTGTGAATAAAACCCTTGTACATAGTGTACCACTGGACTGTGCAGTGTGGTTACTATAAGGGACAGAGCAGCAAGAACTGCGGCTAAGAGCTGGTAAGGCTGAGCAGCTGGTGTCTTGGACCGCTATATTCACGCTCCCGCAACAGTCAGGTCCAGTGATCCCTGGAGTCAGTTGCATGCAAGATGCTTTCTGTGGGTACCTGTTTCCTCCGTCCCTAATGTGGCCTGTTATCATACAATCAAAAACGGGACAAGATTCACTGGAAAAGGCATGTGATTTTTCCATGGTACCAAGAAGCCTGCTATGCAGACTGAACTGGCTGAACAGACACAGCCTTCTTTGACAAAAAAAATTGTCAAGAGTATTTTGCCTTTTGCTCCTGTTTTGGATAGCTAAAAAAAAAAAAAAAGAGAGGGAAAAACAGTTCTGCATTCCTTAGAGACCCTCAGCTTCAGGTGCCACAGTGTCAAACACACACTAACACCCCAGAAGTTGCCAGTCTTTATCAGCTAATTAGGTGGGCAGAAATTCATCAAGTGAGGGAAACCGATAGCTGTGCCTATTGAATTACGGTATGGCTTGAAATTCAATAAAAGGGTCAGATGTCTTCTTTTTCAGAGGACAACTCTCTTTTCTAAAACCTGGCCTCTGGAAATGGCTGGGCTCTGTCGTTTAATCAATGGAAGGGGGGTGGGTTTTGAAGATTTTTGTAAACAGTCGAGTGACAACTTGTCACTCGAAAGATAGAACTAACACTCTAGTAGAAGAAGAAGAGATTGGATTTATACCCCGCCCTTCACTTGAAGTCTCAGAGCGGCTTACAAACTCCTTTCCCTTCCCCTCCCCACAACAGACACCCTGTGAGGTGGGTGGGGCTGAGAGAACTCTGACACAAACTGCTCTTTTTCAAGGACAGCTGTGCCAGAGCTTGTGACTGACCCAAGGTCACAGCAGCAGGTGCAAGTGGAGGAGTGGGGAATCAAACCTGGTTCTCCCAGATTAGAGTCCGCGCACTTAACCACTACACCAAGCTGGCTCTCTCTATCTATATGTAAGGCTTGAGGAAGTCTGTTTCAATGTATCTGAAGAAGTATGCATGCACATGAAAGCTTATACCCAGAATTAAACTTTATTGGCTTGAAAAGCGTGCATGCACATGAAAGCTTATCCCTAGAATGAGTCAACTTTGTTGGTCTCAAAAGTGTGCATGCACACGAAAGCTTACACCCAGAATCAAACCTTATTGGTCTTAAAGGTGCGCATGCACATGAAAGATTACACCCAGAACGAAACTTTGTTGGTCTTCCAGGTGCCACTGGACCCAGCCTTTGTACTATGGTGGGTGGCAATTGTGCTTTTATAGCAGTCGTGTGCATCTGTGAACCCAGGTGAGCAGAAGCAAGTGTTTCCCCCCCTTTTTTTTTTTTGAAGGAAGCCTCTTGTCTCTTTTTTGGGAGGGACCAAGCCAGGAGGACTACCCTACATAAGGTAAGCCTGCAAGGAGAAGACCCAAGAGAAGCCA